TGAGGCATGCATTAGCTCTGGAAAAGCAAAAGTCCAATTAAATCAAGCATAATAACATATGTACTCATGTATAAGCCAAGTTTTTTTAAATCATCTTATTAGGGGCTCATACAACTCTTATTACAATACATACATACATCAATTGTGTCAAGCACATTTGTACATTCATTGCCCTCATCATTCTCAAAACATTTGCTCTCCACTTAAGCCCCTGGCATCAGGTCCTCTTTTTTTTCCCCTCCCTCCCCGCTCCCCTCTCCCTCATGAACCCTTGATAATTTATAAATTATTATTTTGTCATATCTTGTCCTGTCTGATGTCTCCCTTCACCCACTTTTCTGTTGTCTGTCCTCCAGGGAGTAGGTCACATGTAGATCCTTGTGATCAGTTCCCCCTTACCAACCGACCCTCCCTCTACCCTCCCAGTATTGCCACTCACACCACTTCTCCTGAAGGGATCATCTGCCCTGGATTCCCTCTGTTTCCAGTTCCTATCTGTATCAGTGTACATCCTCTGGTCTAGCCAGATTTGTAAGGTAGAATTGGGATCATGGTAGTGGGGGGCAGGGTGGGGGAGGAAGCATTTAGGAACTAGAGGAAAGTTGTATTTTTCGTGGTTGCTACATCGCACCCCTCTGCAAGAGGATCTCCAGTGTAAGCCGAGTTTTTTCAGCAGCACATTTTTAATGCAGTTTTTGTGGTAAAATTAGGTGCCTTGGCTGATATTTGGGTCGGCTTATACTCGAGTATATATGGGATTTCCACTATGATAAAAGTCTTTCCTTTTAAAACTGCGTAGCTACCTTGATGGGCTGCTAAAAGCTGTCGTTCAAAACCACCCACCCTTTTGCTGGAGAAAAATGTGGCTTTTGCACTCTTACACAGAATTTCACCTCTGAGACCCACGTGGGCAGTTCTTCCCTGTCCTGTGGGGTTGCTAGGGTTCGGATTTGGCTCCAAGGCAGTGAGTGTTGGTTTGAGTTCATTGAGCCCAGCGGTTCTTAACCTTCCTAATGCCGCAACCCTTTAATACAGTTCCTCATGTTGTGGGGACCCCCAACCATACAATGATTTTCATTGCTATGTCATCACTGTAGTTTTGCTAATATTATGAATCAGGCAAGCCCTCTGAAAGGGTTGTTTGACCCCCAAAGAGGTCGCGGATGACAGGTTGAGAACCGCTGATTGTGTTTTCTGTCTTCCCTACATTTAAGCCTTGTTCAAAATTCAACTGCATGAACTTTAAGATCCATGCCATTTAGATGGTCAGAATTATCCTCGTCCACCCATATAACATTGATTCCTTTTATCTTCTGCAACATCATAATCCTGAGCATTTATTTAAAGTAATCCTCACATCAGTGTATCAGGGTAATTATCACAATTGCTATTTCACAGATATGGACAGTGATATGCAGGACCATTCTCTGTCTTGTCCAGACCAGATAGCTAGCAAGTGAAAAAAAGATTTCAAACTTCAACCCAACACCAAAGACCCTACTGGTTCCATTATGAATGGAATGATCCACATTAGATATAAATTTGCTTCCTCCCCTATTCTGTAAGCATCAGTGGCCCGAACAGGAATATGAAGAGTGTTGCAATGTTGATTTGCATTTTGTCAGCAATATAGTAGTTATTTGCAAAAAAAATCTTCTTGAAGGAACAAACAAGTCCACATTCCATGTGTGTATCATTAATTATTGAATAAATTTAACACCTTGTGCAGATATATATATATAAAAGTTGAGAGTACATTAAAACCCATGAGCCAGAATCTACTTGATGGCAACAAGTTTATATTTTGCTCTATAGCATGTTGTTTAAAGGATTTCTTCTCTATTACTTTTATCCCCTCATCATATTATATTAAAAATTACCATGTAGACCAAGCGAATCCCCAAACCGAAAAGCACCATTATTGTGCTTCTGGTAATTCATTTGTGGTTATACTACATTCTAACGTTGCCTGACAGCATTTTTTCTTTATTATTTTACTCTGGTGATTGGTTATAAAATATAAATTATGTTACACTGTTGAATTTTCTCAGAAATTATTTGTGGTCTAAAACTGTAAGCAACAACATCAAATAAAAATATAATAAGCCTTATAGGAACAACGTGAAGCAAATGTTATCGTATCCATTTTAATGTCCAGTCTGAAGATCATAAAGAATAGGAAACTTCAAAAAGGATTCATTGTCTCCTATAAAATCAGCACTGACAATAATTTATAGGGGTCAAGGACATACTGAGAAATCTTCTACACACCCTCTCACAGGCATAATCTGGATGGGTAATCAAACGTACCTTCATGAGCCTATTGACTAATAATCTTATTTTTGGCACAACGTAGTCATCAAAAGAGCTCTGGTGGCATAGTGGTTGCACAGGGAGCTACTACACAAGTTCAGCAATTTGAAACCACCAGCGGCCCTGCAGGAGAAGGATAAAGCTTTGTGCTTTCATCAACAGTTACAGTCTCAGAAAGTCACAAGGGCATTTCTACCCTGTCTAATAGGGTCGCTATGAATGTGGACTGACTCGATGCCAGTACATTTGTGTGTGTTTTTTTAGTTTGGTCACAAAATGAATGTAGAGACATGTTATGGATCAGGAACTGGAGAGATGTGAGCAGGTATGGCCGTCAAGGAGTGTCAGTGGGATCAGGAAGCCTTTGGACGGAAGGAGCAGGAGTGAAATGAGAGGTGAGGGCAGTCAACAGCATCAGGTGGAGGTCACAGGATCGAAGCTGGCAGCAGCTGATGGATAGAATGGGGTCAATCAGGGCTCTGGATGAAGCTGGAAAGGCAGCATAGTTTCTTCTTTCTGAAAATAGATCACTCTTTTTAGTGCTACCTCCCATCTCCTGACCGGCAGTTAGACTTTGGCCTACTGTTAGTTGCACTTGCTATGAAACTCTTCAAGGTTCAGAAAGCTTTTAAGAAAAGAAATCTGGAAGAAAAGATTCTCTAATAGTGAAACATCAATCCAAGAAGCTATGTTTGGTATCACATCTCTTGAAATTCCTTTGATTTGTTTATGTATCAGGCCCAGGGTAATATTATAGCTCTTGAAAGCTAGTCTCTATTTGTGATTTGGTCTTGTATTCATTGATAAATCATTAGAAGTTGCTGGCTTCAATAAGGAATGAGGAGACGTGTTCTGGGAAGTACGTTGAAAGGAATGTGCTAGAGGGGAGGTATAAATGAATGTCATGAGGTCCCTGGGTAGCACAAAGGGTTTGTGCTCAGCTCTACCCTAAAAGTTGGTGGTATGAACTTACCCAGCAGTCCTGTGGAAGCAAGGCCTGGTGATCTGCTTCTGGAAAGGTAACAGCCAAGAGAAACTTGATGGAGCATTTCTACCCTGTAACAAGTGGAGTTTCCATGAATTGGAATCCACGCTACGACAAGGGGAATAGGTTGTTTCCCTAGTATGTAAGGGCCTGCTCAAGGAATAGGTACGAGTCTACCTCAGGGGCATTCTACTTCACAATTCTCCAAATGTTATGGGTTCCATTAGTAAGTTACTCAGGACATTATATTTAATCACTTTTTAAAATTCTAATGTTCGGAGTGAGTCCTGGTGGCTTAACGGTTCAGGTGTGTTGCTGCTACCTGAAAGCAGTGCTTTGGGCCCATCAAACAAGACTGCTGAAGGAGCCCTCCAGGAGAGTTCTTCGCTGTCCTGTAAGGTCACTATGAGTTGGAATTGGCTCCACAGCACACAACTCCAATATTTCCATTGGGAACTTCACCATACTTTTGATCTAAATTTCAACATTGGAAATAATTCACGTGATGGGGAAAAAATTTCGTCCTGCGATAACTGAGCAAAGTATTCTTTTAAGTCAAGATTTAAAAGGGGTCCAGCTTGTCCTTCGTAGTCCATTGGAAACCTTGTTTATATGTACAAATAAATTAGATGGACCATTTGGGGGAACAATATTACTGGTATGTCACTTTATGTCTGCTTTTCGAATGGAGCCTTTCTGCTACTGAGATTGAAGAAAACGACACAAGGGAAGGCTCAAGGTCGTTTTTAAAGCCGTTCTGAACCTTGGCATCACTTGTTTCTCGTACTTTCCAAATCACTGCTTGTTCTATGTCCCTTGTCCAGCGTCAGGGTGACACTTGCCGATGAAGTGTTCTTTCTCACACAGGACCAGGCTTGGAGCTTTCCTGAGTGTGCAATTAGCACGCCACGAAGCTCGGTCTTGTCTCATTCTGACACTTTGACAAGGTTTAGAAATACCAGTCACGCGCCTCTTATCCTCATCCGCGATTCCTCGGACCCCAAATACTCCGCATGCTGGGGGCGGGGGCACCCCTAGAGAAGCCAGTTGTTGGGTGTCCAGGCAGACACACACTTGTTTTCACGGAATGAAAAAAGGGGGCGTTTTGCGAGGCTTGGCCTTCACCCTGTATTTCTATTTGGGGACGCGGGAGGAGGAGATTACGAACGAACGAGCAAACAAACAAATCTCGCCCACCCGGCCGGCCGCAAATGGGTGGTCCCGCCCCGGCCCCGCCCCCAGCAGGCCCCGCCCCTTCCCGGCTCCGCAGGTCGGCGCAGTGCGGGGGCTGGAGCTGGAGCGGAGCGTCGAAGTCTGGGCCCGCGTGGCGATCCGCCCGCCCGAGCCCTCGTCCAGGCCTTAGGGCCGCGCGGCCGGGCCCCCGGCCCCCGCCCCCGCCCGGGGCCCACGGAGGCTGAGCTCGGCGCGAGGCTTGGAGCAACCCCCAG